AAGATTGAATATTTGACCATAAAAGATTCACTTGCTCTTTGGAACAATTTAAAGAAGAGGTATGACCACCAGAAAACTGTAATCCTTCCTAAAGCTCGTTATGACTGGATGCATTTATGTTTACAAGACTTTAAATCTATGATCGAATATAATTCTGTAATGTTTAGAATCAATTCTCAACTGAAATTATGTGGAGAAAAGATTACTAATGAAGATATATTAGAAAAAACATTCTCCACATTTCATGCATCCAATGTGCTCCTGCAGCAACAATACCGTGAGAAAGGTTTCAAAAAATATTCTGAATTAATTTCTTGCTTACTTGTGGCTGAGCAAAATAATAAGCTTTTAATGAGGAATCATGAATCCCATCCTACTGGCTCCACTCCATACCAGAAGCAAAGTGAATGCAGTAGCAAGGGAATCAACCCGTGGCAGTGGTCATGGACATAGATGGGGCCATGGTCGTGGCTGTGGGCGTGGCTGTGACCGTGGACGTGGTTGTGGTCATGGAGGTGGAGGTGGAGGTGGCCGTTCCCACCAGAAGTGGGCAAATAATGATGAGCATCACCAAAAAGAATCTAGTGGAAATAATAATCATGTTCAAAATCTTTATTAGCGTTGTGGTGGCAAGGGTCATTGGTCTCGTACTTGTCGTACGTCAAAAATAAGAATAAAAATAAAAATAAAGGCAAAGAGCCAAAGGTGGAAGCAAATTTTGTTAGAGAAAAAGACGATTTTGATTATGGCAACATGGATGTTGCTATTTTCTTTGCCAATTCTGATGGAAGAATTGATCACTTAATTGGTGAAGGAGGTATCAAAAAATTAGTCATCTTGATGTAATTGAGTTTCTATAATTAAGTATATTTTCATGTTTTGCTTATAAGTGTGCTCTTTCATCTACCACAAATTCTGTACTTATAAGGTTATTACCTCCAAAATAAATATAATTATGAGTTTTTATTCATGATAAAATTAAGTTTTCTTTTATTAATCATATTTTCTTTTTTAATCCTTTTCCTATTTTTTTTCATGAAGAATGACCATTGACATCAATAATAAAGATTTGTGTTTCATTGATAGTGCAAAAACTCACACAATACTCAAAAATGAGAAATATTTCTCTTCTCTGGTAATGCGAGAAAGCAATGTTCAAACTATATCTGGAAGTATAAATCTCATTGAACACTCTGAAAGAGCCAATGTATTGCTACTTGAAGGAACAAAATTACATATTGATAATGTATTTTACTCTACCAAGTCTAATAGAAATTTATTAAGTTTCAAGGATATCCGCAGAAATGGATATCATGTTGAAATAATAAATGAAGAAAATCAAGAATACTTGGTTATCACAAATTTAATTACTGGTAAGAAATGCATTCTAGAAAAATTACCTGCCTTTTTTTCAAGTTTGTACTACACACATATTAGTACAATTGAAACACATGCTATTGTAAACCAGAAGTTTACAAGTGAGAATAAATTTAATGTTTGGCATGACAGACCATCTTGGGACTATTATGATATGAAAGATAATTGAGAATTCATGTGGATATTCATTGAAAAGTCAACAGATTCCACAATCACATGTTTTCTCATGTGCTGCATGTTCTAAAAGAAAGTTAATGTAAAATCCCTTAACCTCAAAACATCATAACTCATCACAAAATCACTACTATGGTAGAAAAGGAAAGCTGTTAAAATGAGCTACCATAGTAGAAGGAAAATTTCATACTTTTAGAAATTGACTTTCAAACTCGGGTCAACCCGTAATCCGTTACATGCAACTAAAATAATCCATTCATTCATATACACTGGGCCTCCGAGCCTCCGAGCCTCCGGCCCGGGTAACAAAACACATCCACATCAGCCCATATAAAATAGTTTCCAACAACGTAAATCAAAGTTCTACCAACAATAGAAAAGGCCTCCGGCCAACTAAAACGAGGAGATAACATATTCTCCAATTTACAATAAGATCAACAATCAAAATATCACAAAAGACCCTAACTGTGGCAATATACAACTGATCATACATAAACAAAGGCTAGAGGCCTAAAGCTAACCAAGCTCAAGCCTCTGCGTCGCTTCCCGAAGGCGCACGCCTAGCAACTTCACCTGAAAACATTGTAAACCACAGGGTGAGACGAAGTCCCAGTAACCAACCTTTCCAATACTAGGTACTACTAAATAGGTGCTCGTGAGGTGTCAAGTGGGACAATTCACAAATAATTTATAATGATAGCCACAACAATTCATGCAAGTACAAAGATGCAATCCCCTCAACCAAATCCCTCACTTTGCGGGATTTTCAGGAGCCGAAGCCGGCCTATCCCTCACTATGGGGGACGTAAGGAGCCATAAAAGGCCTATCCCTCACTCTGGGGGACGTAGGGAGCCAAAAGGCCTATCCCTCACTATGGGGGACGTATTAAGCCAACCATCATGCATTAATGGAGGCCTTACCACGTGGTAGTAACTATCAAAAACTCTCACCAATTCCCAAATCATGCATCATGCTCAAATCATAATCAAATAGTAATTGAACATCTCATAAGTAATTTCATTCAGTGGCATATCCTTCACAATTTCAAGATTTCATTCATCATCAATCGAAAACCCCACAAGACGGTTTTCCCTTTTTATATACAACATATAGTTTGAACATATTTACTACTTGGAGCACAAAACACAAATCTACTTACAATACCACAGAAGCAAGTACTAAGGATTGGAAAGTGGTTACCTCTCGCCTGAGCAAGGAATAACAAACCGACAATGTGGCCCCGTACACCACCACGACTCACAACCGGTCTACACAAGCACACAAACACACAACCATCATATATTAGCTTTCAAACTAATAATGTGGCCAAAACAACACTTAGGGATGTTAGGATTATAGTTTTGATGATAACAAGTCAGAATATCAGGGTTAAGTATTTTGATCGATCAACTAATCGAACAATCAGTTATCGCTAAGATTTCAGATAAATGATCAAGTGTAAATCAGGTCTATAGTAGTCTTTTTGATCGAAGAACTATTCGATGAATAGTTTATCGATAAAGGGATCGATAATCGCTAGTGTAAAAATCACATAAGAGTATGAAAATTATCGATAAGCTGATCGATAATATCAGGTAAGCAATCGAGTTACTGATAAGAAACCGAGTGCATTTATCGATCAAGTTATCGATAAATCAGTCATCAATAACGACTTCGATAAAAGGTAACACTCTCTACTTGTTCTGCACATTAGTTCAGTTACAAATTTATCGATCATATTTTCGATCATTTGTTTATCGATTACGTACTCGAACTTTATGCTCTAACTCTCTGAATGCAGGAGATCAAATTCACTGATAGATCGATAATTTTATTGATCACAAAATTATCGATTACATGATCGATAATCAATGTTCTTTTTAACTCTTACTCAGTTTTGCTACAGCTAAATTATCGATAACATTATCGATAATTTTAACTTGTTTGCTTAAATAAGTTTTTCACATAACGTGTTCGATAAAGAGTCTGAGAATTGACATATTAGCATTAAGTTATGATGAACTAATTTTCGATCAAGTTATCGATCACTGGATTTTCGATAAAATGATCGATCATTCATTTCCCCGAACTTCATGTTTTCACAAAACGTGATCGATAATCATTTTCCTTACCTTACAGGATCAAACTTCTTTCTTCACTATTATCGATCACTTGTTCGAATAGTTAATGATCGATCAGCTGTTCGATCATTTCAAATAGCATGTGTCTTCCTTTGATTATTTACATAACCATGTTTTATCGATAATATTATCTATCATATATTTATCGATAAGATGTTCGATCATCAATGACTGAAGCTTCATTTTAATAACATCTAAATTATCGATAATCTGTTCGGTCAATTATGTGATCGATCACTTGTTCGATCATGCAATGATTTCCTCTTTCTATGAAAATTCTTGGAGCCGATGATCCAACACTTGATCGATAACTTTAGTGATCTATTTCGAAAAGTCTTCATTCCGTTTATCGATAACTTGATCTATCATCAAGTAATCGATCATCTTTTCGATCAAACCAAACCGGAATGACACTCTGTTCTTGTTACTGATAAATGATCTCGTCACAAATCTTGAATGATAAATTAGCCCTCCTTCTGTATTCAAGGTTAAAGCACTCACCACAAAATTCTCACTTGTTCTAAGTTTGAAATATGCAGATTAATGAAAACGAGTGCAACGGCTCTTCAATGGGATTACGTAGACTGCGACCTACAGTGTCAGAAACTCAGACGCATTAATGGCGGAGCTGTTAAAACCAGTGAAACACGCAAACGAAGTCACAACGGCTAGAAGCCTTCCGTCTAACGGCTATTTAACGATATCAACTATAAAAGGCGCGAAGAGGCATTAATGAAGGGAATTGAATACCGGAGCTACCATCTGCTATTATTTAGTTACGCATTCAATACTCTGTTTTTCACTTCACTACTGAGCATCAGTGTTTATCATTGAATTCACTCTGTAAGAGAGCCATTCACTACTTTCATTAAAAACTTGAGAGACACTCAAGAGTGTGGACTCTTGAGAGGGGTTGTATCCTTACGGGAGTAAGGGGGAGTGATTGAGCGATTCAATTACTGTACCGAGGCACCAAGAGCCCTGTCGATCTTGGAAGATAGTGAAATACTCAGAGGTGTTCTGGGGACTGGAAGTAGGTCACGTGGTTGAGACCGAACCAGTATAAATCTTGTGTCCCTTCTCTGCGGTTAAATTTCTCCTTACTCTGACTCTCTGTTTCATTCAATACTTGCACGCTTTTAATTGTTAAATTTTTGTAACTCACCCAATTCACCCCCCTCTTGGGTGAGATTGATTCTAACATTTGGTATCAGAGCAGGTCTCTTCACTAAGGATTTAACAGTCCGAAGAGAGATCAAATGGCAGGATTTGGAGATAGCGTGTTACCGGAAGGATGTTCAACATCTAAACCGCCAGGCTTCAGTGGAGAAAATTATACGTTCTGGAAAATGAGGATGAAAATCTTCATTAAAGCCACAGAGTATGGGTTGTGGGACGTAATAGAACACGGCAACTATGTTCCGATGAACACAGTAGATGGCCAGCAAGTACCCAAGAGTTCCACGGAATTCAACGAGGAAGATAAGAAGCTGGTGACCCTAAATGACAAAGCGATCAACATACTCACGTGTGCGCTTAGTCAAAGGGAATACTTCAGAGTCTCAAGCCTGGAAACCGCGAAGGAAATGTGGGAGGCTCTGGAGATAGCTCATGAAGGAACCACCGGTGTAAAACAGAGTCGAATCAACACTCTCACTACCGAATTCGAATTATTCAGAATGAAGGAAGGAGAGAGTATCCGAGATATGGAAGTCAGATTCTCACATCTCATAAATCACCTCACTGCACTTGGGAAGAAATATAGTCAAGAAGATCAAGTGAGGAAAATTCTGAGCGGTCTCACAAAAGAATGGGAACCGAAAGTAACAGCTATTGAAGAAACCAAAGGAGAATCCATTGGTTCGGTTGCAGCACTATTCGGGAGTCTTGCTGAGTATGAGAGCAAGCAAAAATACAAAAGGAGATGAACGAGAAAAATCGGAAAGGCATCGCTCTTAAAACTCAAGTGAGCGAGGATGAAAATGAAGATGATCTTGATGATGATGAAATGGGCCTTATAGTCAAAAGGTTCAAGAAATTCTACAAAAACAGAACCGGAAAGAAGTTTCAGCCGAAACGCAAAATTTCCTCGTATCCGAACGAATCAAAGGATCCAATCATTTGCTTCGAGTGTAAAAAGCCAGGACATATCAAGGCGGAATGTCCCCAACTCTCCAGAGCAAAGGATAAAGAAAAGAAGAAAGAAAGATTCAGAAAGAAGAAAGCCTTCGTCACATCAATCTGGGGAGACAGCTCCTCCGATGAAGAAGAAGAAAGTGACGATGAAGAGACAGCTAATATCTGTCTAGTGGCCCAAGAAAACGAGGACTCAGAAACAGACGAGGTAATAATTTCTGAACCATCTTATGATGAATTGCAGTCTGAATACAATGCTTTACACTTAGAATTAGTAAGAATTGCAAAAGAGTTAGTTAATTCTAAGAGAAGGATAAAGTTTTTAGAAGATCAACAATCAAAGGTTAAAGTCAATACTGACTCGACCTTGACTTGTGAAAGTTGTGAAAAGAATGAAAGAAAGATTGAAGATCTAACCAGAACTTTAGAAAAATTCACTAAAGGAAGCGAAATGCTTAAGGTGATTCTAGGAGCTCAACGATGCTCTATGGACAAGACTGGTATAGGATACGATCCAACCCAAGATAAATCGAAAGAAAAGAAAAAGAGTAGTGGTAGATCATATCTTACATATTTTAGAAATTCTGTGCATTCCTCAAATCCTTTTGCACTTTGTTCTCATTGCAACCGTAAAGGCCATTCAACTTCTTCTTGTTACTATAAGAAGAAAGGAGATTACGGAACATTAAAATGGGTGCCCAAAGGTACTTATGCACCAAAAATAACTCATACTAACCAGAAAGGACCCAAGAAGGTATGGGTACCTAAAACATGATTGTAATTTTTGCAGGTATGTCTCAAGGCATCCAGAACAAATAAATGGTATATAGATAGCGGATGTTCCAGACACATGACAGGTGACACTGAGAAGTTTACATCACTCAAACCAAAAGATGGAGGAAAAGTGAGCTTCGGAGGAAACCAATCGGGAAAAATTGCTGGAATCGGAGAAATCGGAAGTAATATAGGCATGAAGGTCGAGGACGTGTACTACGTGGAAGGTCTGTGTCATAATCTCCTCAGCGTCAGTCAGAGTGCGGACAAAAACAACTGGGTAATCTTTGATTCTGAAGAGTGTTTAATCATAAGCAAAGATGACCTACCCTTGAAGAAAGAAGAATTGAATACGAAGCTGAGAGCTCCGAGGGACGGTAACTGTTATACACTTCAATTTGATTCTAAAGCTTCTGAAAATTGTTTTATTAGTAAAAAGGAGGAAAGTTGGATTTGGCACAAGCGTCTTGCACATGTCAACATGAATCAACTTTCAAAATTAATAAAAAGGGATCTAGTTGTTGGTTTACCAAAAATCCAGTATGAACGCGATGATGTTTGTGATGCTTGTCAAAAAGGTAAACAAACAAAATCTTCATTTAAATCAAAGAAGATAGTTTCAACTGAAAGACCTCTCCAAATGATTCACATGGACTTGGTCGGTCCATCTAGAGTAAAAAGTTTCGGGGGAAATCTTTATACTCTTGTAATAGTTGATGACTATTCAAGGTTTACCTGGACTTTGTTTCTTTCCTCTAAAGATGAAACTTTTAACGCTTTCATTGTTTTTGCCAAAAAGGTCCAAAATGAGAAAGGTGCATCTATTGTGTCTATCAGGTCAGATCACGGAGGAGAATTTGAAAACAACGAATTTGCAGACTATTGTGAGGAACATGGAATTGACCACAACTTCTCTGCACCAAGGACTCCTCAACAAAACGGAGTAGTTGAACGAAAAAATAGAGTACTCACGGAGATGGCTAGAGCAATGCTAAATGAGAAAGGGATCTCACAAGTATTCTGGGCAGAAGCGATGAGCACAGCTTGCTATATTTCAAATAGAGCCTACATCAGAACATTGCTCGGAAAGACTCCATATGAATTGTACAAGGGAAGAAAACCCAATCTGTCACACCTAAAGATCTTTGGAAGCAGATGCTATATCCACAACAACAACAAGGAAAACCTGGGTAAATTCGATCCTAAAGCTGATGAGGGTTTGTTTCTTGGCTATTCTAATCGTAGTAAAGCATATAGAATTTTTAATAAAAGAACCTTTACAATAGAAGAATCAATTCATGTGGTGTTTGCTGAAACTGAAACAATTTCGAAACCTGAGGATGATGATGCTGAAATCGTTCAAAATTTTCAAAAACTGGATTTGAATAAAAACTCGAACAAATTATCTTCAGAAACCGTTTCAGAAAACAGAGATGTTTTAAACGATCCCTCTTTACAAGAAAATCTAGAGCAGCCTAAGGCATGGAGACACAACCGAGATCATCCTCTGGATCAAGTCATCGGTAAAGTCAATGAAGGGGTCAAAACCCGGAGACAAATTGTCAATGAAGTTCTTTTCTCTGCTTTCATATCTCACATTGAGCCCTCTAATATCGACGAAGCACTATCAGATGAATTCTGGATAGTTGCGATGCAGGAAGAACTTAATCAATTTGAGAGAAATCAAGTTTGGGAATTGGTACCCAGACCAGAAGATCATCCGGTCATTGGCACCAAATGGGTATTCAAAAACAAGCTCGATGAATCAGCTCAGATCGTCAGAAACAAAGCCCGATTAGTAGCAAAAGGCTATAATCAAGAAGAGGGAATTGATTATGAAGAAACGTATGCTCCTGTAGCTAGACTGGAAGCCATACGAGTTCTTTTGGCTTTTGCTTGCATCAAAGATTTCAAACTATTTCAAATGGATGTTAAAAGTGCATTTCTGAACGGTTATATATCAGAAGAGGTGTTTATCGAACAACCTCCAGGTTTTGAAAATCCAAATTTTCCAAATCATGTTTACAAACTTAAAAAGGCTTTGTATGGTTTGAAACAAGCGCCCAGAGCCTGGTATGAACGACTTAGCCACTTTCTTATAGAAAAAGGTTTTGAAAGAGGTAAAGTGGATGCCACACTTTTCATCAAAAGAAATAGAAAAGATCTTTTGATTGTTCAAATATATGTAGATGATATTATTTTCGGTGCTACTAACGAAGATCTCTGTCAAGAATTTGCTAAGCTTATGCAGGGAGAATTCGAGATGTCCATGATGGGAGAATTAAATTTCTTTCTGGGATTACAAATCAAACAAAAGAAGAACGGTATATTTATCTCCCAGACGAAATATGTAAAGGAATTGCTGAAGAAATTCGGAATGGAGAATGCTAAAAGTGTAAAGACTCCAATGAGCTCAACCTGTTCGCTTGATATAGACGAAGACGGGAAAGACATAAATCTAACAAAATATAGAGGGATGATCGGTTCCTTACTATACCTTACTGCAAGTAGACCAGATATTCAGTTCAGTGTTGGAATGTGTGCGAGATATCAGTCAGCTCCAAAGGAGTCGCATGAAGAAGCCGTGAAACGGATACTCAGATATCTTGTAGGAACTCAAAATTTAGGAATCTGGTATCCAAAAGGAGGAACCGAATATTTAATGGGATATTCTGACGCCGATCACGGTGGATATAAAACAGACAGGAAAAGCACCAGTGGACAATGCCAATTCTTCGGAGGATGTCTTGTCTCATGGTCAAGCAAAAAGCAAAACACCGTGGCAATCTCCTCTACTGAATCAGAATATGTAGCCACTGCCTGCTGTTGTGCTCAGATCTTATGGCTAAAACAACAAATACAAGATCTAGGAATCAATATACGTGAGATTCCAATCTTATGTGATAATACGAGCACGATAAGTCTGTCCAAGAATCCAGTCCATCATGCTCGAACCAAACACATTGATGTTCGACATCACTTTATTCGTGATCATGTTCAAAAGAAAGATGTAAAAGTTGAATTCATCCCCACTGAATATCAGATAGCCGACATCTTCACAAAACCACTAGACCAACAGAAGTTCAGCTATTTCAGAGGAGAATTGGGAATGGTAAATCCCAATGAATTGTAAGAAATTTCATACTATCTCTTAAGATTAAATGTTTAAATTTATTGTTTTGATGATAAGATAACTAACTTAAGCATCGGAGTATGTAGAAATTTGTTTTGCAGGAAGCTCTGTTTCGATGAAGAAAAACAGAGGTAAACAGAGTATGAGATTATCGATCAATTGATCGATAATCATGAAGGCAAGTGGGAGATAATTTATCGAACAACTGATCGATAAATTCACTTTGTAAAGAAAGGGAATTGCTCCATTTGAGCCTGGGGAACTCAAGACCAAGGTTCCTAGTTTTGGCCTCACTCAGCTCCACAAAATGAGGATCTCTGTTCCCTTTACACCATCACAGAAAGTATCTCAGAAGGATAAGGGAAAGCAACCAGTTGCTAGTGCCTCTCGGACCCAGGATGAAGCCGAATCCACTGCTGCTCCATCTCATACCCCTGGTCCATCTTTTATGGAGAGGTCCCTCAGGGAAATGTTTCAGGCTGAGCTTCGTGCATTTGAGACCAGAGTCTACACTACTGCCAGAGACTATGGGGAAGTTTCTGACCGGAAGTTTGATGGCATCTCTAAGATTCTGGATCTTCACCAACAAGCCATGGTAGTTTTGGAAAAGGAAGTCACTGAGAGGTTTAATTCAGTGGACAAGGAACTCCAAGAGCTTAAAGGCTTAGTTACCTCTCTCTGCCACCACTTCACTCCACCTAGCACCAGCTTCAGCTATGAGGATCTCCTTTTCCATCCTCCCTCTCCACCACACCCTGAGCCTGCACCTTCTTCCTCTCCTCTACCTACTTCTCCTATTTCCACCACTCCTCCTTCTGTTCCGTCTACTTCTACTTCAGTCCCTACTACTCTTGCTCTTATCACTGTACCTCACCCTGTTCCCTCCTTTCATTTTCCATCTATTTCTCCCCTTCTTCCCCTTCCTCCTCTCCCTATTTCCCTGACCATTCCCTCGGCTCCTACCCCTTCTGATGATGCAAAAAGGGGGGGAGAAGAAAACTGATGATACTTCGTAGATTATATGGCTTTATGAGTTGCTTTATGAGTTCCATGTCATGACGTTATATTATCTCTTTTGTAATTTTCTTTTGTGTATCTGGATAGTGCTTTTATCGATAATATGTTCTTGATATTTATCTGCCTTTTTATGCTTTTTAAGAATATGAAACTGTTTGATGTTCTCTCTGATAAATGACTCTTAACCTGTGTTTTGTCATCATCAAAAAGGGGGAGAATGTTAGGATTATAGTTTTGATGATAACAAGTCAGAATATCAGGGTTAAGTATTTTGATCGATCAACTAATCGAACAATCAGTTATCGCTAAGATTTCAGATAAATGATCAAGTGTAAATCAGGTCTATAGTAGTCTTTTTGATCGAAGAACTATTCGATGAATAGTTTATCGATAAAGGGATCGATAATCGCTAGTGTAAAAATCACATAAGAGTATGAAAATTATCGATAAGCTGATCGATAATATCAGGTAAGCAATCGAGTTACTGATAAGAAACCGAGTGCATTTATCGATCAAGTTATCGATAAATCAGTCATCAATAACGACTTCGATAAAAGGTAACACTCTCTACTTGTTCTGCACATTAGTTCAGTTACAAATTTATCGATCATATTTTCGATCATTTGTTTATCGATTACGTACTCGAACTTTATGCTCTAACTCTCTGAATGCAGGAGATCAAATTCACTGATAGATCGATAATTTTATTGATCACAAAATTATCGATTACATGATCGATAATCAATGTTCTTTTTAACTCTTACTCAGTTTTGCTACAGCTAAATTATCGATAACATTATCGATAATTTTAACTTGTTTGCTTAAATAAGTTTTTCACATAACGTGTTCGATAAAGAGTCTGAGAATTGACATATTAGCATTAAGTTATGATGAACTAATTTTCGATCAAGTTATCGATCACTGGATTTTCGATAAAATGATCGATCATTCATTTCCCCGAACTTCATGTTTTCACAAAACGTGATCGATAATCATTTTCCTTACCTTACAGGATCAAACTTCTTTCTTCACTATTATCGATCACTTGTTCGAATAGTTAATGATCGATCAGCTGTTCGATCATTTCAAATAGCATGTGTCTTCCTTTGATTATTTACATAACCATGTTTTATCGATAATATTATCTATCATATATTTATCGATAAGATGTTCGATCATCAATGACTGAAGCTTCATTTTAATAACATCTAAATTATCGATAATCTGTTCGGTCAATTATGTGATCGATCACTTGTTCGATCATGCAATGATTTCCTCTTTCTATGAAAATTCTTGGAGCCGATGATCCAACACTTGATCGATAACTTTAGTGATCTATTTCGAAAAGTCTTCATTCCGTTTATCGATAACTTGATCTATCATCAAGTAATCGATCATCTTTTCGATCAAACCAAACCGGAATGACACTCTGTTCTTGTTACTGATAAATGATCTCGTCACAAATCTTGAATGATAAATTAGCCCTCCTTCTGTATTCAAGGTTAAAGCACTCACCACAAAATTCTCACTTGTTCTAAGTTTGAAATATGCAGATTAATGAAAACGAGTGCAACGGCTCTTCAATGGGATTACGTAGACTGCGACCTACAGTGTCAGAAACTCAGACGCATTAATGGCGGAGCTGTTAAAACCAGTGAAACACGCAAACGAAGTCACAACGGCTAGAAGCCTTCCGTCTAACGGCTATTTAACGATATCAACTATAAAAGGCGCGAAGAGGCATTAATGAAGGGAATTGAATACCGGAGCTACCATCTGCTATTATTGAGTTACGCATTCAATACTCTGTTTTTCACTTCACTACTGAGCATCAGTGTTTATCATTGAATTCACTCTGTAAGAGAGCCATTCACTACTTTCATTAAAAACTTGAGAGACACTCAAGAGTGTGGACTCTTGAGAGGGGTTGTATCCTTACGGGAGTAAGGGGGAGTGATTGAGCGATTCAATTACTGTACCGAGGCACCAAGAGCCCTGTCGATCTTGGAAGATAGTGAAATACTCAGAGGTGTTCTGGGGACTGGAAGTAGGTCACGTGGTTGAGACCGAACCAGTATAAATCTTGTGTCCCTTCTCTGCGGTTAAATTTCTCCTTACTCTGACTCTCTGTTTCATTCAATACTTGCACGCTTTTAATTGTTAAATTTTTGTAACTCACCCAATTCACCCCCCTCTTGGGTGAGATTGATTCTAACAAGGGACACAAAATTCCTATCTCCCATCAAAACTCTACCTAACTCAAAGGGTATAACTATCAAGGCAACACTCCAAAGTAGTACCAATCCATTAAAACCTTATTTCCTTTCCAAACATCAATTAAAATTCATAACCTCAAGGACCCACTATAGGAATTCTACCCCCAAACATCCCAATTGAGCAATTAAGGTTCCAACAACAAATCTAAACCGATTAAACATCCAATTTAACCTTCCTTAACATAACCCAATTCACAAAACTCAAAATCAACCTCTACATTGTCATCCTCAATCCCAAATCATCCATTTCCATAAACCCTAACTCCAAAAAAATTCAAGATTCTTTAAATCCAAGGAAACTACACTGATTAAACACTTAAACTAACCCAAAGCAATCAATTAAACTCAAAACAATTGGTCAAAAACCTCAGTTCCATCACAACCTAGAAAATCCTAGGGTTCCACCAAAAATCCTCAGAAATTCCAAGAAATTCCAAGAAAGAAAGAAGATTAGAGGTTAAAATCACTTACTTGAGGTAATAGATCCTTAGAAATGCCTTTCCCAAGCCTCAACACCGAAACCCTAGCAGAGCTCCTCTCTCCACCTTCAGATTTTCTAATTTTCGCACAACTGAACCCTCCAGCGATTATATAGATTCGCGACCTTTCGCCGCGGCGAACTCCAATCTTCGCCGCGGCGAACTAATCCCGAGAGGGATTACTCGCCTGAAAACTTGACTTCGCCGCGGCGAACTCCAATCTTCGCCGTGACAAAAGCTTCCCGAGAGGAAACTCTCGCTCGCCCAGAAAAACTTCGCCGCGGCATGCCCCTACCTTCGCCGCGGCGAAACCTTCCCGAAAGGGAAGCCTCGCTCACCTGAACAACTTCACCGCGGCATCCCCAAGACTTCGCCGCGGCCAAACCTTCCCGAGAAGACACACCCCTCTAAAACCCCCGGTGCGCCGCGGCGAACATACCCTGAGAGGGGTACGTTCACCTATTCCTCCAACATACCTCAAATTCAACCCAAACACCAAGATCAAGATTAAATTGCTAATCTATCCTCAAAATCAACCAAAAGAGGCTATTAAAACCAGGTAAAAACTTAGGATGTTACAGTTAATCATTCGACCATCACCGGTAAAAATAAAAAGTGAGTCTCACACATTTCTAGAACATATACAAGGGGATATTTGTGGGCCAATACACCCACCATGTGGACCGTTTAGATATTTCATGGTTTTAATTGATGCATCAACAAGATGGTCACATGTTTGCTTATTATCCTCTCATAACCTAGCATTTGCAAGGTTGCTTGCTCAACTAATTAGATTAAGAGCACATTTTCCTAACTATCCAATCAAGAGAATACGTTTAGATAATGTGGTGAATTTACTTCGCAAACTTTCAATGAGTGTTGTATGTCTCTTGGGATTGATGTTGAACATCCTGTAGCACATGTTCATACACAAAATAGTGCAGAATCATTAATTAAACAATTACAATTAATTACAAGACCATTGCTGATGAGATCAAATCTCCCAAATTCTGCTTGGGGGCATACAATTTTGCATGCAGCAACATTAATTCGTATCAAGCCAATAAGTTATCTCAAGTCCTCCCCTCTACAATTGGTCTTTGGTTAGCAACCTAATATCTCCCATCTAAGAATTTTTAGAAGTGCAGTATATGTTCCTATTGCTCCACGACAACGTACTAAGATGGGTTTCCAAAGAAGGATGGGAATATATGTTGGATATGAATCTTCTTCTATAATAAAATATCCAGAACCATCAACAGGAGATTTATTTATGGCTCGATTTGCCGATTGTCAATTTGATGAATCAAAATTTTCAACATTAGGGGGAGAAAAGAAGCAGTTGGAAAAAGAGATTAGTTGGAAGGAACTTTCATTATCTCAACTTGATCCTCATACAAAACAATGTAAACTAGAAGTTCAAAAGATAATTCATTTACAAAAGTTAGCTAATCAGTTGCCAGATACATTTACTGACCCAAAGAAAGTGATCAAATCACATGTTCCAGCTACTAATGCTCCTATTAGAATTGATGTCCCTGTTGGACAACCTGCTATTGTAAATGAATCTAAAGCACACATGAAGCGTGGTAGGCCCATTGGTTCCAAAGATAAAAATTTTCGAAAGAGAAAAGAAGCTAAAAATGTAGATAGCCAAGTCGAGGATAATCAAGAAAGAATAGCAATTCAAGAGGAGTCATTAGATAATACTAATCTCTCAATTCCAAAAGAAACTCAGCTACATGAAATGTGCAAAAATGATGAAATCTCAATAAATTATGTTATAAATGAAATACAATGGAATCAAAATGAAGTCAACGTTGACGATATTTTTACGTATAATATAGCGCTTGATGTGATGAATAATGATGAGGACCATGAACTAAAGTCTATTAGTGAATGTAAACAAAGAAAAGATTGGCCAAAATGGAAAGACGTAATTGAGGCTGAATTGAATTCACTGGAAAAGCAGAAAGTGTTTGGACCTGTAGTCTATACACCTGCAGATGTAAAACCACTCAAATACAAATAGGTTTTTTTGCGAAAATGAAATGAAAATGGTAAAATTTTAAGACATAAGGCACGGCTTGTTACCCAAGGATTTACACAAAGATCTTATATTGATTTTGAAGAAACATACTCACCAGTGGTGGATGCAACTACTTTCTGATATTTAATTAGCCTAGCAATAAAAGAAGGACTCAATTTGCATCTGATGGATGTTGTTACAGCCTATTTATACGGCTCACTTAACAATGATATTTATATGAAACTCCCTGAAGGATTCAAGTTGGCAGAAGCATACAATTCAAGTTCTCGAGAGCAATACTCAATTAAATTAAATAAATCTCTGTATGGATTGAAGCAATCAAGGCGTATGTGGTATAACCGTTTAAGCAAATATCTATTGGATGAGGGATACAAGAACAATCCAATTCGCCCATGTATTTTTATAAAAAGATCTGGAAATGAGTTTGCTATAATTGCTATTTATGTTGATGACATAAATATCATTGGAACTATTGAAGAGCTTACAAAAGCTATAGGTTGTTTAAAGATAGAATTCGAAATGAAGGACTTGGGAAGAACAAAATTTTGTCTTGGATTGCAAATTGAATATTCAAGAAATGGGATCTTTTTGTATCAAGAAACCTATACAAGAAAGGTCTTAAAGCGTTTTTATATGGATAGATCACATCCATTATATACTCCGATGGTTGTAAGATCTTTAGAGAAAGATAAAGATCCTTTTAGACCTCGAGAAAATGATGAAGAACTACTTGGTCCAGAAGTACCATACCGTAGTACAATTGGTGCACTCATGTATCTTGCTAGTCACACACGACCTGATATATCATTTGCTGTTAACCTACTAGCAAGCTATAGTTCGTCACCAACATGAAGACATTGGAATGGAGTTAAGCACGTTCTTCATTACCTCAGGGATACTATAGACATGGGGTTATTTTACTCAAACGTACCCAAGACTGACCTCATTAGTTATGCAGATGCTGGATTCTTATCTGATCCACATATCGGTAGATCACAAACAGGCTATTTGTTCATATATGGTGGTACAGCCATTTCATGGCATTCTATGAAACAAACCATATCAGCCACATCATCTAATCATGCAGAAATTCTTGCAATGCATGAAGCAAGTCGAGAATGTGTATGGTTAAGATCGATAATACATCACATACAAACCACTTGTGACTTGTCTTCCAGCAAAATGATCCTCACAATTCTGTATGAAGATAATACTACGTGTATTGCGCAACTAAAAGAAGGGTACATCAAAGGAGATAGAACAAAACATATTTCACCAAAATTCTTCTTCACTTATGATTTTCAAAAGGATGGTGAAATCAACGTCCGGCAAATCCGTTCCAATGAAAATTTGGCAGATTTGTTCACCAAGTCACTTTCTTGTACAATATTTGAAAAGCTTGTTCATGATATCGAATGCCGTAGACTTAGATATATCAACTGATATTACCAAGAAGGGGAGTTAACACATGCTGTACTCTTTTTTCCTTAACTATGGTTTTTATCCCACTAGGTTTTTCCTAATAAGGTTTTTAATGAGGCAGCACTGGATCGTATATTAATAAATGTGTACTCTCTTTCTTCCTCTAGGTTTTTATCCCACAGGGTTTTTCCTAATTGAAGTTTTTTAATGAGGCACATATTTGTATAATGGACATCCAAGGGGAAGTGTTATGAATATTATGTGAATGTCTATTTACCCCTTCCTCTTTATCTTCACCAAGTAACTTCCACTACCTCCACCATCTATTACTTCTCTACTATCCATTACTCCTCCACTATCTATTCACTCTTGTAAGTCACCTTCATTCACATTCATGGGATTAATTATCCACTATTTACCATTTAAGGACAATTGTAACCTATGTGTAAGACTATGCCTATAAATAGGGCAAGTCATTTGTGTTGTAGTGCAAGTGAAGAAATACAAGAAGTTCTCTCATTCTCTTGTCTTCATCTTTCTACTTTTGTGGTTTTATTTTGGTTCCATTTTATAATAGAATCAATTATCAGGGCCAAAGCCATCATTTTCTTTAGATATATCCAATTACTCATATAATATGTTAAAATTTGTCAAATAATATGTTAAAATTAATTATCTGCTCAAATTTATGCTTATTTTATAAATTATAGAATACCTTATATATGCCAAATTAATTATAAACTTCAAAGAAAATACTAATTATCTTGACATAAGACATGGTCGCACTTACCCCATTTAAAAATAAAAGCCTTAATAAATACACCACGAGGACATGATACATACTACATCTTTAATATAAGAGCTAGTTGATTAATTTGAGTAATTAAAAAAATTTGTTAAGTTAGTTATTTGTAATAAATAGATGTTATTTTTCCTAAAATACCCTTGATAGTCATGTATATTAGCTAGAACTATTATTTAATAGAATTTTTAACATGTGCAACTATTATAAGGATTATTTTGAAAGAAATGAATAAATATGAGAGACAAAGTGGATTGGGATCTCATATTTAATATTAAATTAAAAATCAAATTAACTCTTACATTAAGAGTCAGAGGTAGTATTATTTTACCTAAATTATCCTCACTAATAATGTATTAGAATTTGTATTTGATAGAAACTCTTAAAGTGTGTATTGAATATTCAATTAGCTCTTATATTAAAAAAGGAATATAATATTATATATCTTGTGTAAAGGAAACAAGCTTCTTTTTTTTTTTTTTGCCTTATTCTGTGATAATTCCTGCTTTGATATCTTCTTCTCTCTCTTTTTAATTATAAAAATTCTAGGCTGGGGTTGCTTCATATCTTCTTTTAGATGTGGGTTATCCTTAATTGCTTTCATCTGGTATATGTAGTGAATTTGTTTTTGTTGGTAAAAAAAAAAAAGAATTTGTTTTTAAATTTAACATTCATTTATTATAAACAGCTAAAATAACTAATTTTTTTAATATTAAAAAATTAATTAATTAATTTTTGTATTAAGCACCAGAGTTAGTACATTACATATATTTTATTTTTTAACAAAAATAATACATATATTTTATGTGTTAGACAAAGAGGAAAGAAACATGAAGAATCTCATGATACCACTGGACATGGCAAGAGGATGGGGAAAATATGACCTAGATTTTTTTTTTACAATGTATTAAAATTTTAAAAAAAAAATTAATTGTAATTTTAGATTAAACAACATGCACCATTATTTAGGAGTATTTATGGGACAAGGTAGGATTTTCGCTTCATATCCTGTCTTGTCAGGACAGCCGGACAGGAACAAGACATGTCTCATCTTTATTTTTTAATCAATGAATTTGGGCTTGTAAAATTTGAGTATTTTTGCTCTATTGTAATTTCTTAAGTAAAATAATCAGAAATTTCTATTTTCATAAATAGGTATTATGTTATATAATATATATTAATATTATATAAAAAAATTTAAAAAGTATTCAGGGTCGGAACGGCATATCCTTATCCCGTGTCCTGTCTCGTCCTGATTCCTCTTTTTATCCCATTCTGTTCTGTTCCATCTCAAAAACTTTCAAGATAGGACCATCCTATCCCAATTACGATCGAGATCGAGACGAGCTAATTTGACCACCCCTAGCAGTCTGGCACTATTTCTGTGTTATGAAGGTTGGGCCATGTGATACTAATAGACCAAAACTTTGGCTAGCTTTTAATTAAAAAACTACTTTTTATTTTGTATAAGAAAATGGACAAATGGTATAAAATTTTTGGCCAATAAATACATTTTGCATCTTGTAGAAATCAGTTGGATTAAAACAATCTATCTCTATATCCTTTAAACCTTATAGCAGTTTTGTGATTGGTACACGTGAATATATAGGTGTTGGGCCACGTGGGTGTGTGATACTACAGGTTTTTTTATATAGTAATTGATATATAGTCACGTATAACAACTAGAAAGGGAGGGGGATTTCATCCTGGAAATGATTAATTGCGGTGGCCCTTTGGAAGGCATTACCATGGATAACGTTGGGAAAAAAATTAAGAGAATAATGATAACACGTTAACCAAAGCTGTTGGTTGCAAAACTCCATTAGAACAGATATACATACATCTGATCCGACTAACATACTGAACAGTCTTATCCTAATATTTAATTTGTGTTGTCAATTCATTTTTAAGTGCAGGCATCTTTTGGTTTGTTTTCATTTGCGGTTCCTTATCCTTCCGTTTTTGTGTCCTTTTTGGGTGGTCATTTTGAGTTATATAAACATGAGTTCGGGTACACGCTTTTTGTTATCGTTTCCCGATCTTCCTTGAGGTCTTTTTTCTTCGGTGTTGTGAAGAATTTGTGACTTTGTGTGTATTTTTTTTTTGTTATTGGCTTTTGTTATTGATCATTGTCTTCCTCCGTTGTTTTCAAGGGCTGAGCAGAAGAATACATGATTGTTTGGAGATTTCAGATGCTGCTGTGGCCGGTGGGTTGCGCCTTTGACCTTTGTTCCCATGGAAAAGCAAGTTAGGAGTTCGTCGATTTTTCTGGCTTCATGCATATGCATATGAGTGACCAAACTCCATGATGTTGGAATATATTACATTAAAAATGCTTTTGCATCCTTGAAAATAATAGAAGTATTTTTTGTAACACCTCAAATATATAATCCATATAATTAACAAAAATATTTCATAAATAGCCCACAAGCATTTCTAGTATCCAAACCAATCAAAATAAAGTATGAGGCATGCATGTCATAGTTTCAAAATAAATCCGTAAAGTATCTTCACAAAATGAAATGATGAAGCCTAGGGTCATGACAAATAAAAATAACATAACATATGCTCAAGAAGTACAAAAGAGCCTTCATGGCTCACTCTATTGATGTCTTTCCTTACTTCCTACTAGATTCATCACCTGAAAATGTTAATGGAAAAGATAAGATCTAACATCTTAGTAACAACTAAAATCCCTAACATATACACACAAACACAAATATATTTTTTCAAAACTAGATGTTAGTATACATTTATATACACCAAGTGTCACAAATTTTACCAAAATTTCATCATTAAATCAACAACATAATCAATCCATATTCATTTACAGCATGAATTTCACAAAAATAAATGCATTATGTAACCTTCCTTATATCACAGTCCATTCTTATTTCACTGACTGGAGTCATAGGCTAACACATAGTCCAATCAAAATTAATCTATTTAACTGGATTGTCCCAAGCTCACCAATAATTGAGATATACCCAGCCAAAAGTATAGAGCACAAATCTAAACTATGCTTCTTTCCTTAAAGAATAAAACTAAGGAGATGTCATATGTTCCACAACTCTAATGCAATCCTAGCCAAAGGACCACATGGAAGAAGAGGCCCTAACAAATGTCATTTACTATGCACTAAGTGATAGCATATCACATAGTAATTAAATAATATATTCATCCCCATCTGACCTCTACTCATTATAGGATGCATCTGCTATGACAGATAATGGTATAACAAATTATTTCAACCAACACACTATTGTTCCACAACAGAAAAGAACCAAAATCCAATACAAATAATTAACAGTATAATTCTTTATATTTCAATCACCATAATTATCAAGATATTTAATTATTAAAAATATTGTTTAATAGCAATAGAGATAGAAATGTATATACTCCTATGGTCCTATTTATAGGGGACAAACAGAAGACATTTTTTTGTCCTATTTATAAGACACTGAGAGAAATTTTTTGTATGGATGTACAATTTTACCCTTCATTTATTATTATGTCGACTTTGTTTACATGAGGTATAATATATATTAAGTAGAGATAAAGTTGAAAAGTTATGGAATTTTAAATGAGAGTTAATAAAATTTAAGGTTTTTCTTAGTCTGTGTGAAATATGTTGAAAGTGACTTATAAATAGGACTAGAGGAGTATATAATGAAGCTCTATATATTTGAAAACTCAATATTTATCATATGTAAACATATATATATGTATTTCATACTAAAATAATTAATTTGCAAGATATTTAACAACAACAATAATCCACAGACAATTAATATGTGCATGAAAGAAATTTTAGAGTTACCTGTCACTCCTTAGCTTACAAGTAATTACACAAAGTTACTCCAAAGCTCTCAATGAGAGTCTACAAAATCGCACACAAATACCTATCAATATATAACTAAAAAAAATTTATTCTAGAGTTAGACCATAATCCTAGAACTACTCTCTAACCTAGTCCCCACAGAGCTAACCATTTTATTTGGGTACAAAAATATTTGGGGTTAATTTTCTTTTATATATGAGATAGAAATTAAATTGTGGAAGGCTCGTATATAAAAATATGTGCATTAAAACGTATGGCTTCACGAGGAAAGAGTGAGTTTTCAATGCATCAGTGGTAGTACGGACAAAGTATTATTTTATATGAGTTTTCAATGCACCCCTACATGAAAAAATAATAAAATGAAGAGAAGCTATTGGTTTAACATGGGACCGTGAGATATGGGGTAAAAATAGGGCTGTGCAAAAAAATCAAAACCTGGTCTACCCAGTCTGACCTGCGATAACCTGGTCCAATTTGGTTTAAAAAAAGCTGCCAAAAAAAAAAAGACTAGGCCAATCAGGTCATACTAGAAAACTGGACAAGACTAGGTTTAGGACTGATGCTTCAAACCATTTGGTTTGACCCGATCCAAGTAGAATAATTTTTTTTTTTTGCCCTCTTCATTTTTACATCTGTGCTACAACTCCCTCCTATCCTCCTATTCCTTTAACTTGCTGCACTAAAAAAAAAAACTGAAAAATTGCAGTGGTTATTTTGTAGCGGTTACAATAAACCATTAGAAATTAAGGATTTGTAGCCGTTTTAATGTAAAACCGCTACAAATCTGCATCGGTTGAGCCAGATTTGATTTTGTGTCACACATTGTAGTGGTTATACACGAAAATAACCACTACAAAAATGGTGCGACCATCTCGCCAGAGGGCAGGAGATTCTCGCTAAATTTTTAGCAATTATATAGTCACGGTTGTGAGAGAATAACCGCAACAAACCATTTGTAGCGGTTATTTTTGTAGCAGTTGTACTAAAGGCAGAAGATGGCGGTTTCATATAAAACCGCAACAAATTATTAAAATTTGTAGCAGTTTTAAATTAACCGCTACAAATTATCCTAGTGTCCCAATTTTGTGGCAGTTTAAGAGACAGCCGTGACAAAGTTTGTAGTTCCTCGATGGAGGCACAACATGTATCACATCGATTTTGTAGCGATTGTACAGTAAACTGCCACTAATGTCACCTTTGTAGCGGTCTTTTGAAAACGGCTACAAATTTTTTGCGCCTATATAAACGCTAGCTCCCTCTTTCTTTCACTTTTGCTGCGCGTGTGTATGGGAGTTCTGCTGAAATTTTTCCTCCAGTCCACTGTAGCTTTAGATTCATTTCCAGCTACCCAGGTATGAATATATATTCATTTATTAGTTAATTTATTTAATAGTTACAGTATTTAAATATTTAATTAGTGTTGTATTAATTTAATATTTATTTTAGTTTACTTATTTAATTGAAATTGATATTGTTTGACTTCATAATTATATCTGGTATTTGTTTTAAATTTTTGTAGTTTGCATGTTAGTTATAATGATTTAATAATAAAATATATTTATTTAGTAATTAATTTATATGACATTAGGAGTGAAATTATTTTAATTACAATTATTTGTATTTTATTTAATTCAAAAAACTTGAATGTATTGGTTTTTTTAATTATTAATTACGAATTGGAAGATAATTATAAAATTTTTAGAATTTATTAAATCCATATCTAAACAGTTTTGTATTTTGTTTAATTAGTTATATGTGATTTAAATTGTTGAATTAATTAATTGTGATGATTATATATCTTATTGTCTTCAATTTTTTTAGTTTGTATGTTATTTGTAATTGTTTAATGACAAAATTTGTTTATTTAGTAATTAATTTTATTAGACATTAGGAGTGATATTATTTTAATTACATTTTATAGTATTTTATTTAATTTCGGAAACGAACGAGAATTGTTGAAACTAGCATATTGGAAGATCAATCGGCCAAAATAACCATGAGCAGCTACAATATTATAGGTTTCTTCCTCTTGACCAAATCCGTAACCTTCATTAGCAGATTCATTTTCTGTGGTTTCCCTGATCAAACTAGAAGTTACCAAGGAACCGTGCATAGCACTGAATAGGGAGCCGCCGAATACACCAGCTACGCCTAACATGTGAAATGGATGCATAAGAATATTGTGTTTTCTATTTTTAAATTTTTATTTATGGTTTCAAATGTAATTGTAAAATATTTATAATTTATTAAAGTCATGTTTAATAAATTTTGTATTTTGTATTGTTTAATTAATTATTTGTTGTTTAAATAGCATGACTCGTTGACACGGTAAAGATCCTATTGAGCCTACGAGACCCCCCGGTATCTTGAGAGGCCTAGGCCGTTTGAGGAGCCAACAGAGGAGGATGAGGGGCCCATGATCAGCGTGGAAGATTATGAGATCGATGAGCATTTTGATCTCAACCTAGGGGGGATGAGGGTGGATTCAAGGGTTATGTGGAGAGAGAGGTATGGGGTCTAAAGGAGGAGGAGGAGAAGGACCACCACCACCACCACCACTAGAATTATGTCGACCTGGTGGATGGTTGAGCAGTTGGGAGGTGGAGGTTATGGGTAAGTAAAATAAGTTATTTAATATTAATAATTAAATATTATTGATATTATCTTATTATCAATTTAATTGTGCAGACCCAGCTGGCAATAGGTCAACGAGGAGACTGAATGTGAAGGACATGCATTACATTCAGGATGTACGTGTCACAATCCCTCTGAATGAGCCCGGGCAACCAATTGAGCAGGGAGGACATCTGTTCAACTGACATCTGGCTTATGTAGGTGGACAGTACATGATGTTTCCTATCTATGAGCCCACCCAGAAGAGGATGTCACAGAAGAACAAGAGCGACGCTTGGGAGCTACTGAAGGTAATTAATTAGTATTTTAAATTTAGGATTAAATATTTTCCTTAAAATAATTATGAGTTACATTATAAATTTGATTTCTTACTAATTAAATCATAATTTCATTTTTTAATTGCAAAAAAAATTTGTCATCGGGGATAACATGAAGACATATGCCCTGAAGAAATTAGGAAAGGCTAGAAGAATAGGAGGACAATGCAAAGAAAGGCAACGGGATGAGAGCCCTGGAGGAGATGTACGCAGACGTGCTAGATGGCATCCCAGCCAATAACTGGGCATTGTTTGTCCAGCTTACGGTGACACCTGAGCAGAGGATATGACTTTAATTTATTGTGTTATTGTTATGTTATTGCCATAGAAGTTAACTAAATTTATTATATTTTTATTGCGGCCATCAGGATATCTAGCATATGGCCGGTTCAAAGACATTTGCTGTGACCTATAATGAGATTGTGAGTAATACTGCAAATTTAATCAAATTATATGTACGTGTGTGTGAATTTAAATAATTAAAATTTTTTTTTGTTTTATTATAAATTGGGAGGGGAGGAAGATGCAGTAGGGGGAGGGACGAATGCCCACCTATGGCGAGATGTTGCTATAGCTCCATAGGCATAGGGACGGTACTCCTATATCTGAGCGGGTTAAGAAAGTTGCTGTGAGTAATTAATTACAATTTTATTGTTTATTTAGTGCTTAAATTTAATGTTCACATTTTTAGTGTTAATATTATATTAATTTCATTTAAATTGATAAAATTATTCTAACAGGAGAGGATAACCCAGAGTGTTGCAGAACTCTAAGAGTCTCAAGGGTCAGTTATGGACTCCACCACCTCACTCAGGGCAGGCTTAGCCAAACCCGAGCACCCAGGACGAGTTAGAGGACTCGGTTTTGGCCCTATACCAAGTGCCGTTTACTGTCGGGGCCGTCATACGTCTTCTGACGCCGGGACCTCCTAGTCAGCAGCAACATCACACCAGGCCTTTTTTGGCACCAGGCGTCCTAGAGAGCCAATAATGGAGTAGCTTCATGAGGAGTTTAAGGCCTAGTATCAGGCTCGTGAGGCCAGGAGGCAGGCCAAATATGAGGGGTAGATGAGAGCTGCCAATGTGATGATAAGGATTGTTTAGCGAAGGGTAGCTCCTGACCTTTCTCCTCCTATCCTACCTAATATTTCCATGGATGATGATCTTTCATCCCAACCACCCCAGCCCTAACCCCAACAGCCCGAGCCCCAGCCTGACGCGGATGATGATGATTTTGTGGAGTCGTCGCAAAGGGCTGATATTTGAGAATTTTTTTAAATTTTTATTATCATTCAAAATTTTATTTATTTATAGATTATTGTTATTAATAATTGAATTTTAATTTTCATGCAATTCTAAATATTTGAATTAGTATTTGCATTTTTCATTAAATTAAAAAGTAACCATTAAATTGGAAATTGAAATTAATAAAAAAAATATAATCAAATTAAAATAATATATAATTCAATTCTAATTTATTAAAATAGAAATTATTAAATTTTCAAGAGAGAATATTTATATGGGATAAACAAAATAATATTTTAAATTTTAATTAAAAGTTTATATTCGATTCTAAATAGTTGAATTAGTATTAGCATTTTTTATTACTTAAGAATTATTTGATAAAATTAAACATGAATTAAATTTATTAATTAAATTAAAACGTAACTATTAAATTGGAAATTGAAATTGATAAAATCAATATTTATGTTGGATAAAAAAAAATTTAGTGGCGGTTTACAGTTTGTATCAGTCATTTAATCACTACAAATGCTTGAATTTGAAATCAAATTTTCCTCCATTGCTAATGTTTGTAGTGGTTAAGGAAGTCGCCACAAATCGAAAAACCACTATAAAAGTTTGTAGTAGTTAGATTAACCACTACAATGGCCAAAATTGAATTTAGCGCCTCTCCAAAAATATTTCTACCATTGGAGTTACCAGTAGTTTGTCATTTTGTTGCGGTTATTTAACTGCTACAAATGTGTGACCATTGGGTTTAGCAGTGATTTTTGCACTTTGTAGCAGTTATTTAACCACTACAAATTGTTTGACTGTTGCTTTACTCCTTTTTAACCATCTTAGACGTTTCAAAGTTTCATTTTCACTTCCATTTGAGCCTTTCTTTGAAATCTTTTCTTGCTCTTGCTTACACAAATCATGGATAAGTCATAGATCAAGTTGCCGCATACGTCCCAATGATAGTTGGCCGAATTAACCTCGTTCATAGAATTTACTTCTACACATCTAACTACTAATGGTAAGCTTCTTTGTCCATGTCCTAAATGCAATTGCAATAAGTGGCACCCACAAGATGTTGTTAGAAATCATTTAATTTTGAAGCCTTTCCCACAAAATTATACATTTTGGTCTTTCTATGGTGAGCAACACGATATGATTACTCAGTCAACTCCTGCAATTTCCCGAATGGGAGTTGAAGCAGAGGAGTCTAACCATATTAATGACGTTGTACGTGATGCATTTGGGATTCACAAACACATATCAACTGAAGAAGTACAGGGACCTGAACCAAAGTTCTTAAGAAACAAAGCTGCTCAAAGTTTTTTTGATCTCATAGATGATGCTAATAAGCCTTTATATCACTGGTATACAAAGTACTCAAAGCTATCATTCACGGTAAAGATATATCATATAAAATGCTTATGTGGTATCACAGACAAGGCAATGTCAATGCTCCTGGAATTATTGACACACGCATTCCCTTATGTGAATTTCCAATTGTCATTTTATGAAGTGAAGAAGATGATTAACAAGCTTGGCTTAAACTACATGAGAATTGATGCCTGTCCAAATGATTGTATGTTATATTACGAAGAGCATGCTAGCAGAGAGACTTGTATAAGGTGCAACACATCTAGGTACAAGCCCACACAGAAAGGGAAAAAGCAGAAGAAGAAACCTGTAAAGATTCTAAGGTATTAGTTGCTTTAATATTTGCTTAAATGTTTTATAAATTATGTCATTATTAAATGAATCATAATTTCTTTCATTTTCTTTACAAATTATGTCATTAATAAACTAATATAATTGCTTTAATTTTTTTTAGAAATTATATTGTTAATAAGGTAATAATATATTTGCTTTATTATTTTTTAAATTATTTTACTTCAGTAATATATTTGCTTCATTGTTTTTTTAGAATTATTTTGTTAATTAACTACTGTATATTTTCATATTTCAATTCTTAGGTACTTTCCTTTGAAGTCGCGCCTGCAGAGAATATACATGTCATCAAAGATGGCAGAGCATATGCAGTGGCATGATGTTGACAAAAATCCAAACGATAAGTTAAGACATCCATAAGATTCTGAGGCATTGAAAGCATTCAACTTAGAGTTTCCAGATTTTGCTGTCGATCCTAGAAATGTCTGACTTTCATTGGCAACTGATGGTTTTAATTCTTTTGGTAACATAAGCACCAGTTACAGTATATGGCCTGTGATGTTAATTCCGTAGAATCTTCCTCCTTGGATGTGCATGAAAGCTAGCTCTTTTTTACTGTCCATGATCATTCTTGGCAAGAAGGCACCTATAAATGATATAGACGTCTACCTACAACCATTGATACAGGAATTGATCGAGCTATGGACTACTAGTGTGGAAACTTATAACTCATATAAGAAAAAGCTTTTTAACCTTCGCGCAGCATTAAAGTGGACAATTAGTGATTTTCTTGGGTTGGGAACATTATCCAGTTGGAACGTACATACGGGGTTGGCTTTTCCTGATTGCAACTTTGACTCCAAACCTGTGCGCCTTCCACATAGTTAGAAATGGTGCTTCATGGGTCACTAGTGATTCCTCAATTTGAAGCACAGATTTAGATTGCAACAGAATCACTTCAATGGTAAACAAGAAAGAGAGATCCTCCTCTTGCTTTATCTAGCATCGATATATTTCAACAGCAAGATGGTGTTGATGTTGAGTTTGGCAACATCGACAAAGTTGAATGAGGCAAACGACATTCTCGTGGCACATCTGATGGTCAGCCAATACAGTGGTGGAAAAGAAGTATTTTCTTCACCCTTCCTTATTAGAAATTTAATTTGATCTGCCATAGTCTTGATGTCATGCACATCGAAAAGATGTATGTGATAATGTGCTATACACATTGCTCAACGAACCCGGAAAGTCTAAAGAACAAGGATATCTTCCTGTCAACATTAAAAAAAATAAAAGTCCTCGATGGATATTCCAACGACATCTCAAG